ACGTCTTGAATATAAATACATATACAAGACGTCGGCAATAAATTTTCCAACTGTATTATTAGGTGATCCGCAAATATAGACACTAGATCCACCAGATCTCGCCAGAAGCCAATTAAACAAGTTTGAGTGTCCTCGTATCTAATACATTTGTCTAAGAACTTCGTAAACATGACCATATACTATTTCCTTTACAGCTTCCTTAATTCATTATATCACCATATTCGATTTCTCTTTCACTTTATTATTTTCCAAGCCACATTATTCCGCCGTTTCCTTTTCGTTCGGAGAAGGATTTATGTATCTCGATAAAGAGTCGTGTTACTCACACGACTGTGTACTATCTTTGATTTAAAACTCGTAGGTAATTGGAATTTTATTAACAATTCTCTGTCTATATACTATGTGTTTAGAAAATATTTTACTGCTACTTAAAATGTTGTATCAAGTCGTCAAAATATAAGTTCATACATTTTGTCTCTTTTCATACTTTATACTTTACGATCCTTTGTCGTTCGCATGTCACGTATTTTTTATTTTCTCCAGACCAGGTGATTAATATTGTATAAGATGTCCCAAAATCCACAACATATAAACTTCTCACCTGAATAGTTTAGGATGTGATGTGTGTATTCTAGATACTATATGTTGAAAAATAAAACTTTCAACTATATGTTTACATATACGTACACGTATATGTAACAGAGTCTTAAGTGTTTGCAACAAAAATACTACCGTTTAAGAAGTGTTTAAGCTTAATTCGCATTCAGTTAATGTTACAACTTCACATGCAGCGGAATATATTTCCAAAAACACTTCTTTTGTAGCGTTGAAGATAATAATAATTGCTGCTTTTATTTATTTCGCGTGGTTTCTGTAAATTCGCGGATAATTATTTTCTTCATCAGTTATATGTTTTTCGGGTCGGTGCTATGGATTTATCTGATAAATTAATAATAAAACCTAAATGGAAATCTCCTTACCAGAAGCAATTTACTATTGGTTTTTTTTTCTTAAAATCCGTGGTTATATTTCTCCAGAAATATGGAAGGCAGAAGCTAGCTATTATTAGCCAGCTAGCTAGCAATTATAGCAAGTATTTGTACAATCTCCTTTATTCTGTATTCCGATCATCATATATGACTTATAATTAACTTATATAAAGCAGTAATTTACAATTTAATTAAAAAAAAATCTTACTAATTATTCTTTCTAACTTCTTTCTAAATCTATTTTTTAAACTGCCGGTAAAGATGAGTTCTCACAAGAAGCTATAATACATAATATATTTTACCAGAGGGAGACTTTGTACAAAAGTCGATTGCTTGGGTACCTCTGTCCTATTCGTGTTTCAACCGTGAAGCAGTTGTTTTCATGGCTGTGTTTCGGTTTGAAGGGCTCGGGATATGGCGTGAATTTACAGGGTACAGAGTAATAATACCTGAGTCTTCAGGAATGGCGAGATATGAGGGGTATCATGGGCGAAAGTGTGCTCTATTATGTCCATGGTACTGCTCATGTCTATAGGCGACGGTTACTACTTTCCATCGGGTGGGCCATCAGCTTGTTTGCCATTCTAAGTTGTATAAAAAAAAATACACCTAAATTGATAATGATATTTAGTATGATTGAATTTTTCCTTTGATGCATCTACATTTTGCCAAATACATTGATTATTAAGGAGCTTAATATTGGCAACAGCAAGATCAGTATCAATACGAGCGATGTGAATAGATGATTAGCTCTAATCAATTAGAAGCGTGGTCCTGCACGTTCATTAGTGCGGCATCAAGTGAATGCAAATTAGACGTAGAATTAAACAGAGTACACTTATTTATTTAATCAAAAGGGTCTTGAATTAAATACGTCTATTTGTTACTTTATTCATAATATCGCTTTCTAGTTCCGAAGTCGTCTTCATTACGAATATCACATTGTAGTGTAAAACAAAGTCGCTTTCGCTATCCAAATGCTTAAATATTTTAAATAATGCAACGGATTTTATTGCAGTTTTCTTTAATAGATAGAGTGGTTCAAGAGAAAGGTTTATAGGCATAGTTTAATATAGTTCTGTGTTAACTTTAAATATACAATGGAACCTTAACGCGATAAAAAAAAATGGCAATAAAGAAGGTTTGTAGGTACTATTTACCTGCAAAGGTTTTTTCATCGCGTTTAGCCCCGATTGTGTATTTAAAATATGTGTGAACAAGGGGAATGTTTAAAATTAACCATAGTGTTAATTTGTTGAATTATGATGATAATTGTTCAAGATGTTGAAAGAAATCAAGTCGACTGAGAGCTTTCTTCGAAAATGCTGCAGTGTAACAAAATAATGTATGGTGAAATTGGTCCACTTTATTAAGCCTAAAAAAAGTTAGCGATAGCATTTTTTATTATATAGATAGAGTTCTATAACTATTTCAATATTTAATTAGTGCGTATTGTTAGTGATGACATATGAAACCGAAACATGGTATGAAGTACGGTATGAAGACGCTTCAAATTGCTCAGCGAACCATGGAAAGAACTATGTTCAGAGTTTCTTTAGGTGATTGATTCTAAAATGGGGATATCCGCAAAAGAACCAATATGATCGATATAGCCCGAAGAATAAACAAGCTGAAGTGGCAATGTGCTAGTTACATAGCTCGAAGGACTGGCAATCGATGGGGATGAAAGATTCTTAAGTGGTGTACGGGGTGTAGAGGGAAACGCAATGTAAGACGACTCATTACTAGAATGGAGTGATGACCTTAAATGCATTGCAGAGAATTAGTGCATGTAACTTTGCCTTACGGCAGCCTGTGAGGGTCTAGTCTTATGTACAGAGGTGGACAGGTAACGGCCGATAATATAATGATTCTTATTTCATGTATTGGAACCATGATATTAACATTCAAAAATATTTTCCATCAGTGAAATTCCAAGTTTTCCTACAATAAATATTTGTCTATTTTATCTCCAAAACTTTATCCAAAGTTGTTAATACAGCGCTTAAAACTTGGATCATTGTTGGATTAAAAATATATCTCGTACCTCGAGAAAGTTTTAATTAATAAAAACTTCTGTACAGTAATTGTATGAATAGTTGTATAAGTACTTAATTGGATTTCTTATTTATCCAGATTTTCTGGCAACACTTACTTCTTGGGAAATTATTATATTTAAAATACAGATTCTGATTAGTGTTTTGTTCGGTGTACTAAAGAGCTTGTAAACAAGTCTCTTTGAATAAAGATAATCTCTATTCTATTATATTTATATTTAGGTTGATATACAATATACAAATTTGATAACAAACATACAGTCCGCCTGATGGTTTTTTTTATACAACTTAGAATGGCAAACAAGCTGACGGCCCACCTGATGGAAAGTGGTAACTGTCGCCTAGTACGTACTAGTACTATACGCATGAGCAGTACCATGGACATAACAGAGTATACTGTTTCGCCCATGATATCCCCCATGCGTTGCTATTCCTGAGGACTCAGGTTTTATTATATTATAGTATGATATAAACACGTAGTAGATAGATTATCCTTTGCAAACAAAAACGACTTGAAATATAACAAAATTGATGTTTCCAACACTGAAATAATAATTGAAAAAATAATTATTTTCATCTATAGGAACTGATTTAGTAATGAAAATATAGTTGCATAGTACATACGAATTAAAACTCCTTTAGAAAATCACTTAAAGATAATGAGAAATTACTCTGGAAAATTAAAAAGTTGCTTTACGTAAACCGTATTTGCATTCGTTGAATTCCCGTTAACCAAATATATTTAATGTGTCAACAAAGTTTTAGTCGCTATCAGTAGCTTGATCAAACTAATCAGAATCAGGTATACGGTGAACTAACTTTGATATGTTAACTGGTTACGAATAATTGGTATGGCATCTAAAACGGACCAAATATAGTCTCAGTGTGCCATGCGATAATAAATCAATACGTGCACGCGTTATCAAATCAGAATTTAATACCGACGTAGTGGTTTGGGGACGTCTAATCTGAATGCTGTAGGTACTTACTGTGCGCTCGTTTTGTTGGATAACGATATTATTATCTATCTTCATGACAAATTTATATCCGGAGTAAGCAGATACATTATTAATTATAAGATTTTATTGATTAATTTCAATGCTTAGAGGTAATGCATAGTGTATTCTGTAACATGGTGCTGATCAAACTATTGATGACTATCATTATCATCGTCATATCCTCCTTTAACTGTCCACTGCTGAACACAAGCCTCCTCCTTGGGGGGGTTTGCAAGTGGTTGCCATGCTTAACAGGCGGATTTGCATCCGCAGTTAGGTTTTAGAGATGTTTTAAGAGAGACGCTGCTGCCCATTCCACGCCTTCCCTTAGACGTCTCTTACGTCATCCACGGGAAAGTAAAGGCTGGCCTATTCTATGCGGGACCACATGGCTATTGATGGCTATAGACAATTGTTTTTACTTTTCATCAGGTGGTTCGTTAGTTAGTTTGTTATTCTAAGCGTAAAAAATGTACGCTGGTGATTGGCATTTGTGAGAATTTGAAAATTTACTTTTAAAAGTACTTGTACTTTTTACAGATTTTGTTATAAACTTTATGATATGCCTGCTTTTATTATGAAGTAGGTAAGCTTTTATATTACATATAAAACGTATTAATTTCCAAAAAATAGCTCCTCTAATCGTCGCAACATTAATATGTTACTAACACGGAAGTAATCATTATTGTTAAACCTATTAATTGTAAAAAGAATTTGCGAAGAAATCACTTAACTAAGAAATGTAGGTAAAAGGTTACTTTCAGCATATAAGTACGTAATACCCCTGTTGTTGCCGACGTCCACAGGTTGCAGTAATGTTTACCATCAGACGGACTGTATGCTTGTTGTCACCTTTGTACAAAGTTATGTCTTATAGGTAATAGATACTTACAATTCGCTTTTGTAGTTCTCTCTGTGTTTATCAGTGATTCAGTGAAAATAAATAATGAACAACATCATGTACAAAACTTCATATTTATTGTGTAACAAATTGTGTCCAAACCAACAAACCTATATCTACATGTACTGTGCGTCGTCGTCACATAAAGACGTCGTCGGCGAGTGCTTTGCCCTGAGGCCGGTCATCCTCAAATGTCACCATCTTGTCCCGAGTCTTACTACTGCCCACATTTTGTCCCTTTCCTTCCTGAACCTTACCCCTATCACCGAAAGAAGACAACTCACACAGTTCACCACCAACTCCGCTCAAGTTAAATTCGCTCAAACTCCGCGGCACAAAGTATTCTATACACTTTTCAGCGTGACCAGCCGACCGACGCACTGGGGTGTTCCTTTGAAAGCTTTCCTCCCCGTAATTCGAGGATTTTCGTCTCGGTAGACTGTTGAACTTCGTCGGGTTCAAACTATCGATTTTAAACGTCACCTGCTGACGTTTCTCTTGGCAGTTGGCGAACGCAACCGATGGCCCAGTGTCGGCCGTCTCTCGATGTCAGGATACAACCGACATCGATATTTTGTCGTCGCAAATTTTTTCCACACTATGCACTGCACGAGACTTCGAGCCTCCTGTACAAAGCGCCGTGAAATTTCTTAGAGCTGAGCTCATATCTTCTTGTATTAAATTGAAACACATAGCAATGATAACAATTCCTACTAAAATGTATATACAACATACTCCGATGGCTATATCTTCAGCTTTCGCTGATACGGTGCTTGCGTAATGTCCAGGTTTTAGATCACCGAAACCGATCGTCGCGAGACTCGAAAACGAGAAGTAGTACCCATCGATATAACTCCACTTTTCAGTAGTATGAAACACAATAGTGCCTAAAGCTATATATATTATGATAAGTAGTAAACTTAAGATAATTGGCACTCGCGTGTGGTCCCTACACGTCCAATGATAGCCTCCACTAAAACTGTCCAGATTGAGGGCGGCCTGGAATGGCGTACGGCCCTGTCGCTCGTTGCAGTATTTATCTCTTTTATCACAGTCGCTATACTGTTTGCATTCCGCACCAGGTACTGTATATCGACTCAAACAGTCGGCCTTCGAGTGAAAATTCCCATTCTTCAATGTTGAAGGACAAATCTTGGAGTAGAAGATCCTGAAATTCCTCGCGAGCGCTTCACCAATAGTTGAAAGGTAGAGCATAATAATTGGTATGCCGATGCATGCATACGCGACTGCTACTAGCTTGCCTATTGTAGACTGCGGTGTGACGTTCCCGTGACCTGGAACAAAAGAGTTAATTTGTTATTCATTATTCGTATAGCAGGCGACGTGGTGAATCGGGTTTTTCCGCTCCTTAAATATGGTTGAATACATTATGGCTTGATAATTTCCTAAATTTGCTCGTAGTTTTTGTCTAATATTTTCAAGATTTTCGCTGCAAGTTTGCTAGCTGTGCTTATAGTCATATTACAGATCATATTTTAAACATATTTACCGACTATTAAATGATATCAAAAGATTAGTTGATAAGAAGTAGATGTGGACACTTTTTATTATGAGAAATCTATGTGAACATCTGGGTGCATTACCCAGAATATTCAAACCTAACTTGACTAAATTAATATAGCAGTATTAACTGTAGATATAATTATTAAAACTGATTTATAATGATATTATTATATTATCATAACCAGAGGGAGAGTATGTACAAAAGTATTCTGCTTGGATATCTCTTTCCCATTCGTGTTTCTGCCATAAAACAGTTATGCTTGCATAGTTATTTTTGGTTTCATAACTGGAATATAGTAATAAAATTATAGGGTACAGATGCATAATACCTTGCTCTTCAGAAACGGCAAAGCATGAGGAGTATCATGGGCGACAGAGTAAGCTTTGTTATACTCATGGTACTGTTTATGTCTATAAATGATCGTTACCAGTTTTAATTAGGTGGGCCATCAGCTTATTTGTCAATCTAAGTAGCATAAAAATATAGTAAGATATCACGTAATAGGTACACAAATACCTTCTTCTTATAAAAATCATTCAGATATTGAAGAGTTCTGACAATTTGAGGTATATTAAATAGTCTTACCTATAGTAGTAATTAGTGTCAGAGCATACAGAAAGCTGCTTGAGAACGTCCATCTGTAATCACCTTCGTGGTGATAATTTGCTCTGTTTTCGAGTGTAGCACCTCCTCTGATTGTCTTGATTAGCACTTTCTGGAAATCCATTAACTCTTTCGCAGCCAGCTTCGTCCAGTTCTCTTTGTACAAGATATTCAAGTCTTCTGTTATAGACCAAAGTCTCTCCACAGTTTTGGAACGCAAATCATTGCTGGTACCCTGAGATTGACTGAGGTTAGGCTTCGATGCGGCCACAGCTGTTTCCTCTGTCACTGTGTTACCTTCTATTGCGAGAAATAAAAATCCACCGAGAAGGTTGTAAGTTAGAACAAGGAAGCAAATTGCTAAACAGGTCAAAGGGGAGGCTCTTCGTTTATGGACGCAACGGCAGCAGAAAAATTTGGAGTCATCGATGCCCCTTCTAGTTTGGAAGCAGCATTTCGGTTCTTCGACGAAGCCTATCTCAGTCTTGCAGTAGGCACGCTTCGAGAGCTCCCGGCTACCGTCTTCAAGCATGGTGCTAGCGGTTCATCTCGTATGGTTTACCGTACCTTGTACTTTTTGTGATGTCTTCTCTTTGTTCTGGGCATTGCTTGTGGGATATTCTTTGAAAGTTTTTAACCTGCAACAATAGAGAACAGAAATATTAATAATTTGTTATATTAACAAAAATACAAACAGCCACTTCAATCGTAATAAGATACCAATACGGGAGTAACTATATCTATTAAATAAAGATTTGTCAACCTTAATTTATGATTTCTAGAACAAGTCATATAACATACGCAAAAATAAAATAAAAAATCTATTTTACGATACTTGGAATGGTAAAGAAGCTAACAGTCTACCTGATTGAAAGTGATAATCGTTGACTATGTACATGAATAATACAATTACTTGAAAATATCCAACTTTTTACATAAAAATGTATTTTGTATTACAAATAACTTATAAATACTAGCATGCTTACTCCTCATTTTGTCGTTTCGACAAATTGTGTAGAAGAATCATAACGATTATTGCAATTCTATTTTATAATAATGACTTTAAGTACTGTACAGTTAAAGTGTAATGCCCCGTGAATAAACACACTAATAAAATATTATAGGGACTCATAATATTTTATTTTAAGCTTCCGAATGGATGAATATACACACTTGGCTTTTATATTTGCATTTCTTAGGTTAGATCATCGTTCGATAAGGTTTCACGAGAATTTTATGCATAACCCAAGCATTATATGCAAATTTTTCGCTTCAAAGTCACTCTATAATGTATATTTATCGATTGGGGGTCGGGTACGCCAACACGCATTCCTACTAACATGACCCATGTAAGAGTTTACATAGAGAGAGAGAGTTTAGTGCAGTTAAGATTTGCAAAACATTATACCTACTACTGGGAATGGCAGGCAAACTGATGGCTCGCCTGGTGTAGAGGTAGCCGTCATCTATTGGCATGAACAGCATTATATATGGAAAATACTTGGTGTTTCTCATGACTGCACATTACAGTTGGCAATAGAGACGTAAATGAAACGGAGCTTGCCTATGCAGATAAAGTTACGGTTTTCGCCTTTTAGTTATTGAAACATTGTTCTGGGTTATTCTGTATTGTATCGATCAACCATTAAACTTTAATTTTGTTTCGCTATACCTACATATCCCTAAATTTTTATATGTAATCTTTTATAACTAATTATGTCTTTTTGTATCAATGTATTTGCTAACGTTTCAATGCTGTGTACGTCTATAATTGATGCAGTATATTTTGATTTTTATTGAATGTTAATGTATGTATTTGTATTGTTGATATACCTAAACATATAAATAAACAGAAGATAACAAAACGTTTGAAAGAAATACAAGAATACGGAATCATGGATATGCGAGTATATTTCGCTTTAGAACAGCTTCAATCGTCACAAATGTAAAATGAGATCAACATGGGAGTAAATCCTGTCGACTCCAAACATAATTATGGGAATCTTTTCAGAATTGGTATCATAAGCTACAAAACATACAAGACCTTCTGCTTTTGGAAGTCATTTGAAAGTGAACATTATGTGATACATAGTGGTTTATTACCCTTACTTGATCCCAAAGCTCGTGAGTGTAAATTAGCCGACCCGACACCAAAAACTTGTGTCAATTTAAATTACTAATTCCTTGATTCATTAATAAATCAAATGGATTTAAGAGACGCCGGTAGGTTCGTCCCCGTCACACTGGCAAAGGAGGGTTTAATATTTAGTGGCCTCTGCAATCTGTCGACAAATTATAGGCATATTCAGTATTACACAATAACCAGTAGATAATGCTATTGGTTTTTTTTTTTTATATATATAACTTAGAATGGCAAACAAGCTGATGACATGAGCAAAACGATGGACATAACAAATGATATTGTCTCGTTCATGATACCCCCTATGTGTTGCCATTCCTGAGGACTCAGGTGTTATTCCTCTGTATCTTGTTTGATTATCTCATTTATTTATTTCGCTGCTTTAAAGTCTTATGCGTAGGGTCCGCGATAGCTCTAATGCTATCCTAGGGGTATTTGCGGATCGTCCAGACTGCCAGTATTTGAATCATTGCAAAATGATTCATATACTGGCTAACATACAAAAAAAAGTGGGTTAAGTTAATGATTTTTATAAAATTTATTTATAAATGTAAAAAAAAGTAATTTAAAATTTGATTTAATATTTTATAGTTGGTGCAAATTAATATTGTTAAAATTTTGTGGGCCCCGGTTGCCTTTATTAAAGAATTATTATTATATAAAAATATTTAAATTTGTCTATAAACGTAATGCTTCAAAACCTGTCATAATAGTTCGTGTAATGTTTTAATAGTTGTGTTAACAGTTAACAGAATTACATTTTGCTTTGCACAAAACCACTAACTTGAATCTTGAATACATCGATTAACGATGAGATGCTTCGTAAACATATTAATTCAAAATATTTGTATTAGCAATGATGATAAGGCAAAAATCTCAGCGTAATTATAGCTGCAGAGTACCCGTAGCGCTGACATTGTTGGTTTGTACGGGTATATTGAGAAATTCCAACCTCATAACTCTTAGTTGTTCAACCATATTTCAACTATATTATTACCTTCTATAGAATCTTTTATAATTGACATTATTTACAATTCTTCAGCGTTTGGTTTCGACAGAGAATAGACTACCCCTTCCTATCCAGTGGGTGTCGTAAGAGGCAACTAAGAGAATTTAATAGTCTAAAGATGGGCAGTAGCATCTCTCTTAAAACATCGCCAAAAACTAACTACACTTAACAACTCCCCTGCCAAGCGTGATAATGATTGGCAAAACCCTTATGGTGCGTTACGCCCAACAGTGGGCAGTTACCGGCTAATATAATATTAATATGTACAGTTCAAATTATATAAAAGAATGTAAACATCTATTTGAATTTAAAATATTACTGGCCGATAAAATTTTATGTGTCCATAAAGAAAAACTGGCAAATGGTGGATTTATTTCTGGAGCCATATTGTTTATGGAGTCGTAAACACAGTATGGATTAAACGGATCCAGCTAACATAGGTAGCTAATTCCTTTGAAATCCTCATAACAAGAGTAATGAACACTCAAATCAAACATCGATCTCAATGTGTAAACGCAGAAAGTTTCATTATTGGGAGTCTGAGATACGTTAATATCGGATATGTCGACATATAAACGGGTATTATTAATCAATTTAAAAAAGGCGTTGACAACAAATTAGAACGTGAAATGTTAAAATATAACGCTTCGTACGGGTAGACGGGTACTCGCTTTCTAATCTCATATCTCACTGGTAATGTAGCTTTCTATAGGTGAAAGAATTTTAAAAATCGATCAAGTATTTTTTCAATTTATCCATTAAAAGTATCATATCTTTTTTTACTCGTGTATATACCGTTTGTCATGCTACTCGTACGCGTTGATTTCAATAGTAGAAAGACCGTTTAAACAGGCCAAATTCTAAATGGCATATCAAAACAAAACATATGCAACTTTTTAAGTAAGGCGTTCAGGAATATAATTGTGAAATTTGCATCTAGTTTGGTACAGTGATTTAATACTTTTTGCATGATGCCAGAATAAACATACAGACAAATAGATAAATTTTCTAAGTAATATTATTTTAGTATCTACTGATCTTACAAAGGTCCTTCATATCAATTTTTATTATTTTCTACCATGTACAAGGCTTCATCTAATTACAATTTTATTATTTAAGTAAGAGAAGACAAAGTACATTTTTCTCCACAAAAAAAAAAAAAAAAAACAGTGACATCAATTATAACGAAATATATTAAGCAGTGATCTATGTAGCAATATCTAAATGGTAATCCATTTAAAATAAGAACAGTGAGATCGAAGAAAGAAAAGGAAGACACGAAGAAAAAAGATGGTATTACAATTACATGTACATAACAGAAAACCAATGCTTTTGACTAGAGATTTACATCCATAAGGTTCAGGTTCTAGTTCTATCGTTTCTATTCATAAAACGTCTATTGTTTTGGACTTATATGCAAAATAGTTACTTCAAAGCTGAAATCCTTCACACAAAACCAGCTATTGCTCCCTAATACAAGATTTAATGTTTTCTGGACAACTACAATGCATCCCAAATCTCTCAATTTAACAACTATGTTGCAAATTGGAGACATTTCGAGACGTAGCTAATTTGTATCTCTTACTCGTTCCAACAGGAACTGCTTTAACAGTTGTAAAATATACGATTACTACTTTTAAACTTACTCACTTATTCATAAAAATTCAAACCATTTATAAAGCTATTTCAGCTAATGTTGTTTTACCTTTCTCTTAAGTTTTAATTATTAATTTAAAAAAAGTGCCAAAATACTCTAATAGTTACAAGATTTCAATTAATAAAGTGGGCTTAAGCCAATTGGTTGCACAAAATCAAACATTGAGATAAATTATTCACCAGAATTAAGTTTGCTCTTTGGGAATTAATCGAATTTGATGTAGTAGTTTCTACGAAATGTCGGAACAAACGGGCAGATAGACAGATATACTAAAAATTATTCTTTTGATTTCTATTGCTCTTAATAAAATTGCTCATGTCTGATATACATTTTTAAAGATCTATGTCTAGTAACATTTATATTTTTATTATGCACTGGCTTCTTCATTCCAGTGACCTGGATTTTTTCATTATCCAGGATATCCATTCTATATACAACGTATATCCTAAACACAGTGATTGGTTAAACCGTTAAGGTGTTTAGAGGTCACAAGCGAACGAATTTACTTCCATATGTATGTATAAAATTAGTACTGGAGTCATCAAAAAGATTCCAATATCATTCAATTTGAGCTTACGTTCAGTAAACATACGTAATACGAAGGTCCACTGTTCTCCCACGGCGATTGAAGTATCGATTTCCTGTTAGTTTGTCCACGTAACATCCTAAACTTTTATCGGACCGTGTTGGTAAGGGGAATTGTAATGTCGCCCCTATTTCGTTTATATTGGTAATATCATATTTCGACTATAGTATTGTTGTTAGCTTTTGAAATGTGGAGTTTTTTACTTCTGTAATGATCTGAAGATGCGTAGCTTTATAATTATTAAAA